CTCCAGCCTCCCCACAAGTTCTCCAGCGCCCCCCCCGGGCCCCGCCCCTTGCCCGCTCCTCAGTCGGCCCTGCGGCCGCCCCTCACCGGGCGGCGTGTTCCACCGGAGCCGCCTCCTCCGCCGGGCCTCGGCCCGTCCCGCCAGCCGCCGCCTCATGTGCCCCACGTCGCCATCGCCTTCGCCGCCACCCGCGCCTCTCCTCCAACTCTCGCCGCCGCCACCGCCCTCGCTTCAGTCTCCAGCCGAGGCCGAAGCCGCTCCCGCCGCCGCCTCCCGCTCCCGCCGCCGGGACCCACGGGGAGGCGCCTGCGCACTACGCGCCGCGGTGGGGGCGGGGGCGTCCCGCCGCGGCCTGGGAGCAGGGGGCGCGCGGCACGTGGCGCTCGGGTGGGAGGGAGCGCCCCAGAGCGCGCGGGCGGCGGCGCGGGCGTCCCAACTTTCTACGGTCGGGCCCTCGCGCGTTCTCGGGCGGTCCCGGGGGCGCCGAGCGTGTCGGTACCCCCCGCGTGGAGTCTGGACCTGGGTGGGCGCAGACCTGGCCCGCGGGACAATTCATTCCTCTAGCTTGGCTCTCGGGACAGCCGTCCCCCGCGGCCAGTGCCTCACTTTGGGCGGGCTACTAACGGCGCCGTGAGGACACGCCTTACCTGAGCATCCTAAGTCGGTCCTACGAGCCCCAGAGTTGTCTTCTGTGCTCTCCGCCTGGGCCTGGGTCCAGTGTGATACATCAGGTTGCTGACGCCCTGTTCTACGTTCTGCTTCTACTGGCCCTCGTCGGGTTCATCATCCTAGCTCCTTTGAGTCTTGGATTTTAGTGGCGTTCTAGATACTTTCGAGGTCCTGGACTTCTCAGATTAGCAAGACCCTAATAGGCCATTTCCTCTTAACCCCTTGCATCCCAGCAGGATCCCATTCAAAGGACTTTCTGAAGAATTTGTACGCTTGGGAATCTCCAGCTTTAAACGGCCTCGCCTCCAAGGAATCTGGAAACTCCTCAAATGCTTTAAGTCCAGCCAGTCCGTGCATAACAAGGGAAGGCATCCCAAGGAGATGGGCGAGTACTTCACTTTGTATGGAGTTTGACAACTCCTGTAGTCCTGAATTATCTCATCTGACCATCAAGAATAGGCTTCCATTTTACTCTTTTGACTACAGAGGAAATTAAGCTCTAACAAATGAGGTGACTTGCTACAGGTCAAACCCTCCCATCCCCAAAGCCAGGCCGGAACTAACGGCTAGTCCAGAGGGCTGGCCATCTGGCCCACTGACAAGTTTTGTTTGGCCAGTATGATGTTTTCTAAAAGTATGAATTAATTGCCAAAAGTTTAAAATCCAGATTTTTGGCTTCTCTCTAAATAGTGGGGAAAAAAAAATTGTTCCCTTTGAGCCCTCTAGTTTCACTGGCTACTTCTGAGTAGTAGTTTTTATGCAGGACAGGCTCTGTCCCCACTTAGCTGCTTGAATCATTTTCTTTACCTGCTTGGCCTCTATATTTAAGTTCTCCTCTCTCCCCACGGAACTCGCCATGCCCCAGTCATCCCCAACCACCTTCCTTATCACATTCCCTCTCTACAAATGTATTTAAGATGACAAGTGCGAGGACCTTGTAAATATATGGAAGTATGATAAAGAACATGTCAAACTAAACACAGGAGACAACATCACTATGCTGATTAAAATATTCAAACTAATGTCCTGCTAGTGCAACTCTATATTCATACAAATTGCTTTGGAAAATGGCAATATCTACTAAAGACCAAAACTATGTCTACACTATGACTGGAATTCCATGGAAATTCCACAGAAATGTGTACAGATATACAACTACATGTATCAGTGTGTTCATAGCAGCACTATTTGCAATAGCCAAAAAAACTGGAAACCCCCCAAATGTCCAACAACTGTAGAAAGGATAGATGAAATGTTGTAGTCACACAATATTCCCTTATGCAGCAAGGAGAATGAACAATCTACAGTTACAAACAATAGAAATGAATCTCTTGGGGTGCCTGGGTGGCTCAGTGGGTTAAGCCTCCGCCTTCACCTTAGGTCATGGTCTCAGGGTCCTGGGAATCGAGCCTCCGCATCGTGCTCTGTGCTCAGCAGGGAGCCTGCTTACCCTTTCTCTGCCTGCTGCTCTGCCTATTTGTGATCTCTCTCTGTCACATAAATAAATAAAATTAAAAAAAAAAAGATGGGGGTGCTTGGGTGGCTCAGTCGGTTGGGCATCTGCCTTAAGCTCAGGTCGTGGTCCTGGGGTCCTGGGATCGAGCCCCGTGTCGGGCTCCCTGCTTGGAGGGACCTGCTTCTCCCTCTTCCATTCCCACTGCTTGTGTTTCCTCTCTTGTTATCTCTCTCTGTGTCAAATAAATAAAATCTTTAAAAAAAAAAGATAGATGAATCTCACAAAACTCCATGTATATGAAGTTCAAAAACAGGCTAAAGTGTCCTGTGCTGTTAGGCTAATGGATACCTAGGGGTAAGTTTAGTCACGGAGAGCAGGAGGGGGCTTCTGGGGGACTGATCCTGTTCTTTTCTTGATCTAAAGGTTAAATACACGAATGTGTTCATACACATCTGAGCTCTACACTTTTGATAGTGCACTTTTGTGCAGCATATTAAGACTTCAACAAAAACCTTTAAAATGGTGGGGCTCCTCGGTGGCTCAGTTGGTTGGGTGTCCGACTCTTGGCTTCTGCTCAAGTCATGATCTCAGCATTGTGGAATTGAGCCCTGTGTCAGGCTCTGCGCCAGGCAGGGAGCCTGCTTGAGATTCTCTCCCTCTGCCTCTTGTTCCACACCCTCTCTCACTCAGATAAATAAATCTTTTTTTTTTTCTTGAAGATTTTATTTATTTATTTGACAAAGAGACACAGAGAGGGAACACAAACAGGGAAAGTGGGAGAGGGAGAGCAGGCTTCTAGCTGAGCAGGGAGCCGGACGCAGGGCTCCATCCCAGGACCTTGGGATCATGACCTGAGCTGAAAGCAGACACTTTAACGACTGAGCCAGGTGCCCCTCAAATAAATAAATCTTAAAAAAAAAAAAAAAAAAAAAACCTTTGAAGGGTGTCAAAATATTTGATTACATATGTATATATTATATATTAATAGTTTATATTAATGTTCATTAGGTATTATTTTCCTGTTCATGGATGAAACTGCTGAGGAAGGCTCACAATCTTTTAGGATTGACCATTCCTCATGGAGCTTGGGAACAATACACTTTCTATAATTGTTACCTTACTACCAAGCCTGTAGCCCGTCTCTCTTCTGGTAGATGGAAATAATGAGGGGCGTCTGGGTGGCTCAGTCAGTTATGCATCTCCCTTTGGCTCAGGTCACAATCCTAGAGTGCTGGGATGGAGCCCCACATCAGGCTCCCTGCTCAGCTGGAGGGTCTGCTTCTCCCCTTCCCTCTGCCACTAACCCCTGCTCATGCCCTCTCTCTCTCAAATAAATAAGTGAAAAGCCTTAAAAAATGGAAATAATAAGATCCATGGAAGCTAAGTTGTTTTACCTGCGGATAGTTGAAAATAACCCCAGAAATGTAACTCTTCTCTCTTTTATCACCTTCCCAGAAAATGACATCTTTTAATTTAGTTATAGGTGATAAACTGAAGCCAGAAACCCAAGTCAGAGGATCTCTGATCCAGGCGGTCACCAATGATGTAGGAAAGATGTTAGGGATCAAAGCCAACAGCCAAAAAAGAATTCTTAAGACGTCTGGTGCAAAAAGGTGGTTTTATTGGGGCGCCTGGGTGGCTCAGTGGGTTAAGTCTCTGCCTTTGGCTCAGGTCATGATCTCAGGGTCCTGGAATCGAGCCCCGTATTGGGTTCTCTGCTCAGCGGGGAGCCTGCTTTCCTCCCTCTCTCTCTGCCTGCCTCTCTGCCTACTTGTGATCTCTGTCTGTCAAATAAATAAATTAAATCTTAAAAAAAAAAAAAGGTGGTTTTATTAAAGCACCGGGGACTGGACCGTGGGCAGAAAGAGTGGTGCAAGGGTTGTGAGGAGCAATTGATTAAGTACTTGGAGTTGGGGGAGGTAAGGGAAAAGGGAGGTTTTCAGAAGAACTTTCATATGCTAAAGAGGACCTACCAGGTGCTGGAGGCTTTGCCCTTGTCAAGCTAAGGTTGTTTTTCCCTTTAGCAAGGCATTAACATTAAGACAGTTGGGAGCTTCCTGGAGGAAGTTATACTTTGCCTGCCTCAAGTATGGGTCAACGGGCTGCAGGTACAAGAACATTTAATTTTATCTACAGTTCCTTCTGGAAGCTAGGTTATTGATAAGAATGCTTTTTCCCTGTAAGTCACTAAGACAATTGTAAATGGAGGGAAACTCAGTCTTGAAGGAGTGTAACCTCTATAGAGGTTACCTAGGGGACAGGTTCGTCATGGGGAGCCATTTGTTTTTCATTCCCTTAGCTGTAGGGCTGAGGAATGTCACATAGATCCCACCTGGGTGGGGGAGGGGGTCGTCTCGTGTCAGCTTGTGCTGTGTCTTCAGCTTGCCTTCTGCTCCCTCGTCAACCAGGATCTAGAGCAGAACGGCAACCTCTAGAATGTGAGTTCCCTGAAGGGAGGGCCACTGCCTCTCAGCTTCTAGAGCAGAGCACAGCACGTAGTAGGTGCTTAGCAAGTACAAGCAGAGTGAATGAGTGACTGAGAGCTTGACCTGGCTAGCGCAAAAAGACCGGCTACCCGAGGGCAGGAAAAGAGCACCAGCTTCAAACAGGGAAGGGGTCTGGTTTCCAAGCCTTTGGCAGAGAGTGGTGGAGGCGGGTATTGTGAGAACCGCATCACTTTTTATTCACATGGGGCCCAGGCAGGAAAGGATCAAAACCCAGTTTGAGAACTTGAGAGTCACCCTGGGGCTCTGTGGTTTGGGAACTGCAGGGTCAACTTGAAGACTGCAGTGTGTCACTATTTCCATTACACATTTTCCAGGGTCCCCACTTGGCTGATAAACTCAGAGTAGATTGCTGTGTCCTGGGGGATGGGAGCAAAGGCTCAGAGAGGTAGGATTTTCAGAAAGCTGCCTGCTGGCAACGGGAAGCCCTGTGGGTCCCGTTGGGTAGTGAGGAAGCTTCCTGTTAAACCAGGTCTTGATTGCATGTGCTGGCGGCGGGGGGCAAGGATGAGTAGCACACCCTTCTCCCCAGAATCCCCGGCAGTTTCAGTTGACTCGTGGGACACATATTATTTCTCCCTGCCTCCAGGGAAGGTGGGTGAAGCACATTTTTTTTGTTTTCAAAAAAATTTTTGAATGTGTTTATACAAGTAGTGTTAGAAAGAACAATAGGATGACCTCCTTCCCCCATCCCAACTGCCCCCCCTCTCCCCAGTGCTTCCCTGAGCCCAGTTAGCAGTTCCTGTGTACTAAGGCAGAATTTTAAATTACGGTCGATTTACTTGCAAATGAGGGATAGGTGAAGTGTGTGCAGGAGATAGGGGTGGGGAGAAGCATCTGGGAGAGGACCGGTTCTGGTACCACCCACCAGGCGAGGACTTCTGGATGCACCTAGAATGCAGTGTGCTGGCTCAGGAACTACCCTGCGTTGGTGAGAAGTGGTGCGGTAGGTTCCGTCTTTGAATTTCTGGAAGTTCTCTCTGCCCAGCTGTTTGTACTTGTTTACTTATATTTCTACGATGGTGGATGGTGGGAGAAAGTGATGGTGAAATGTACATGAAGTCCCATTATTATTTGCTATGTTAATTTTCCACTGTCAGCTGGTCTATAGTGGTTAATATTATTGGTTGGATAGCTCGGCCATTTACCTGCTGTGCGATCTGGCCGTTACTTAACCTCTCTGAGCCGTGGTTTCCTCATCTGTAAAATGGGAACGAGATCCATCTGTTGGGGGCTGTTGTGAGGATTAAGGAAAATACGTGAAGTGCCTAAATCTTGTAGGCTCCAAAGGCATTAGTCCTCCCAGTGCTCCTCAGAGGAAGCCAGGTAATTTGGGTATTCAAAAGCAACCAACACAAGGATTTTAGCAAAACATTCAAATCTCTGGCACATCCATTCATCATCTGAGACAGGTGTGCTCAAAATTGGTCCTTCATAAGAACTGATCCTACGTCGTCAGCACTACTACAGCCAGAGGCAGCCTTCCAATCACTACCATCCACACCCTCCTTGAAGCTTTTTAAATGTGTGAGTAGTCTCCCCAGAAAGATTGGTGGTAACAAAGGCGCTTTCCTGGCCCCAGGCCTGTGGCTCCTGGGGCTGTCCTTGGACAAATACTGCAAGGTCCTTTGAACTCACTGCCTGCTTTTAGGGGAGGGGATGCCACCCCAGGCATTTTTTCGAGAGGCTGCCTCAGCCTAGCCCTATTATCTGGAAACTTCCACTGTCCCAGCCTGCTCCTGTTCCCCCCCACTCTCGGCACCTCAAGTCCCTGAGACACTACTATATATGGCCTCATGTTTTCTCTCCTGTGATTTCCCCCAGCCCTTCAGCCTGGGTCCTCCCCATTCCAACCCCAATTCAAGCATCTTCTGTTCCTTGTCCAGTTCATTCTTCAGCATCCCCTCACTCACAGCACTCCTTAGCTCGAGGTGAGTTGCTGGCTCTTCTTTCCCTGTCTGGTCCCTCAGCTCCCTTGGGCTATATATAGCACAGCAAATGCCTTAATTCACGCAGCACTTCAAGTCCTAGCCACCTGCCTCTCAACACAATAGGGAGAACAGCCCTGAAGCTTCCAGTTAGGGTAAGGAAGGCCAAGAAAGAAAAGAAGGTTGGGGAGGGACAAGGGTATGCTGAATTGGGACCACCCGGAACGTGGCAACCTTTCCATCTGTTGTTAAGGACTTTCCACTTCTCCCCCAGCCTGCTCCCCCTTTGCTGATGCTTGCTCATTCTGGAGGAATAGGAGCAGGCCGTGTGCAGGGGGATTCTAACAATCATCTTATTTAACTCTTACAATGATCCTATGGGTAGATGCTACCTCCATTTTACAGATGACGGCATAGACTCAAAAGACAGAGTGGCAAAAGACCAAGTATTCAGAGAGTGGTCATTCAAGCAGCTGACTGACCCCATGTCTGCTTGTGGCCTACACTCCAGATCCATTAAGTCTGTCTGCATCACTCAATTAGACCCTTCTAAATGAGAATTTCTATGAGTGTGACATGACCTGGAAGGAAAAAACGTTTACTAAGTAAATTACTAATGTAGAAATGCTTAAAGAGAAATAATTATTGAAGACTTGGCATAGTAACAAAAATGTTATCGTAATTTATCTTAGTTGTTTACTGAAGTGGTACTCTGTAGAAGTCTGTTCTTTGAAGTTTTAGTGTGCTCTCAGAAGTTAAAAGCAATTTTATTTCTTCTGTTTCAAGAGCTTCCCTCCAGTTTACAATCCTTCTCCCATTAGTCCAGAGCAGTGAGATTTGACTTGAGGAACAGTTATTAGTCTGGCTGTTTTTTTCCGTCACTTACTGTGACCTGGAGCAAGACATTTTACCCAAGCCTCAATTTTTCATCCGTGAAATGGGAATAACAGTACCCACCTTAACAGAATTGTGAGGATTAAATAAAATAACCTACTTAAAGGAATGAGCACATTTCTGGCCCTGTAGGTGCTCAGAAAATCATAGTAACCATGTGTATTATTCTTTTCTCAATTCTGGGCTGAGAGGCTCCAGGAGCATCAACAGAAGCCCAGCAAGAAGGGAGAACCTCTCAAAGAAGTTGAACTTCGCTCTCCATAGCTTGGCTTCAAAGAGCATGAAGTTGATCCTGATTCTTGCTCTGTCTCATCCAGGCATTTCCATCCCCCTGCCTCTGGCCCAGACCATCCATCTCTTGAGATTTCAGGCCACCGTTGGGACCGGGAGAGGCGGCCCAGGAGAGTGTGTGTGAATGACTGAGAGGAGAGTTCCCATGGACGCTGGGGATATGTGAAGGCCCTAGGGAGCTGCTGTGACCCCGGGTCTTTTCCTAGAGCAGTGAGTGCTTGGGGAGAGAAAAGAAAGACTTCAGCTGCTGGACAGATATCCAGGGCTGAAAAGCCCCTTTTGGACAGACATGTGGGGCTGAGGATCTAGGGAAGGAGCAAAGGCCTGGGATGGAGTGGGACTCTCCATAGTGTACTTCAATCTTTGTCCACTTGCTTACGAACAAGAAGGTTCTTTCCTCCTCTTCTCTGAATCCAGGGTGCCACAACCGAGCAGCAGTCCTAAGCTTCAGCCTGGATGGAGGGTCTTTGCTTGGTCAGCCTGTGGGAAGCGGACTACAAGTACAGAGCCTGGAGACGGTCAGACCTAGATTCAGATCCTGACATGGCCAAGGGTGCTGTGCACTCTTGGATAAGTCACTGAGCCTCTCAGAAGCTCAGTTCCCCGTCTCTGAACAAACTACTACCTACTGTACAGAACAGTTGGGAGGCCCGAAATGCAAGCACCTCAAACAAAGTAGATGATAATGCAGGTCGTTGTCATCTCTGTCCCGAGAGAGAGCATCTCAGCCCCGTGGGCAGTCCGAGGAGCCCTGGAGACGTGAGGAAGTCCTAGTGGTCATACCCCGGGTGAATCTGCTTGATCTAGAAAGCCTCCTTCGAAGGATCGAGACCACAATTGGGATTTGGGGCGTTTTATTCACATCCCACATTGTTCGTGTTTGAAGCAGTGTAGCTTGCAGGAGAACCAAGGATCTCTATCGTTTCTCGCCTCTGTGCTTCCAGCTCTGTTCTCTGTAGCAAGTCCCCATCTGATCCAGCCCCTTACTGCCATGGGAATTAACAGACTGCATCTAGTTAAGGGCTCCCGCCATCTATCTTTCATTACTTTCCAGTGCTTGGAGCTGCGGCCTGGAACTCAGCAAATGGGGGGTTAAGACTGATGCCCTGGCCTATCTCCTCCCCTCTCCATTCCTGACTTCAAAGTCCCCATTAAAGCTTGCTTCCCTGACCCCACAGTGGCAGCTCCATCATCGGCTCCTGGCCGGTTCAAAACAGCAGATGCTGAGCCCTGGCCGGGCTGTTCGCACTCTACTTTCTAGCCATCTCCTAGGGTAAGCACCAGCATGCTGAGAACCTGTGGGGCCGACGGTCCTCGCTCCTCCAGGAGAGAAGAGGCAACTAGGAATGGAGGCCACCTCCTGCAGGGAGGCGGTCTCATGGTCAGACCTAGAAGGCGCCTCACAGGCAGAAGCCCTAGTCTGTGGACCAGGACTCTGCTACTCGGTCTAGTTTATGATCAGAGCAGATGTTTACTGGGGTTAGCAAGTAGAGCAATAGTGGTCACCTGCCCAGGGAGGGAGGCAGGGTTTCGGCAATGGCAAAGAACTTGGCAAGAGATGGAAATGGGAGCAGTTCAGGGACCAGAATTAGTTCCATTAGTACTAATGTCCAAAATCTATGCTAAATTATTCACAAATCAATGTCCACTCATTTTAGTCTTTGGCTCTGGTGATTCAGTAACCAGTGCTCTAACACTGGGATGACTCTGGCTCCCTGGGGCCAGATCCCATTCTGTAGCTCCCTCAGGAACAACCGTCACAGATTCAAGGCCAGTGGGGGTCCCAAGGCTCAAGGCCTGTTCCTCCCACCCTCATCTGCGGATTTTTCCAGCTGCTTTTCTTGACCCAAGGATCACGTAGGGATACAAATGGAAGTTTGGGGACGGGAGGGGAGAGCAGGGAAAAGAGTGAAGTCAGAATGAGCAGAGGAAGAGGCATACGTTAGAAGGGATGGGAGAAATGGCACTAGTGGTCCAGCCATCTGACACAGGAGACTTGGGACATCTTTTCAAGTTGTGGCTGTGTTGGGGCATCTTTTCAAGTAGTGGCTGTGTTGGGGCATGGTAAGAGAGGGTCTTAGCAGGCAACTCCCTCCTTTCTACCCTAGACTGAGGAGAATCGGAGTTCTTATTATGGGGTTCCTCTTTCCAGGACTGGGCTGAAGCCTCAGAGACCCTGCTGAAAACCCTGGGGCCAGGATCATGTCTGCAAACAAAGGCTGGTGGGCACCACCTGAGGGCGAAGACAGTGTGTCTCAGAAGTTCCTGAGGAAGACCAGGGAGTCTCCGCTGGTGCCTGTCGGTGAGTAGGAAAGTAAGGGAAGAGGGCAAGGAGGGGCCTGCCCTCAGAGAATGGTCTCCTAGTCGTTTCAAATGAAGCAGAGAACTCAAGTGTTCTGCCCACTGAGCACTCAACAGCCAGGAGAGGATTGAACCAGCAGCAAAGGTGCCAAAGAACAAAGGGACATGCCCGACAAGGCAATGAGGGAGTCTGGACGGGTGGAGCTGGTGGCCAACTGAGGGCTTGGGGTGCAGGGAAATGTGGGGCATCAACACAGTGTCAGGAGAGGAAGGAGCAGCTTGGGGTCTCCCAGGCCTTCCTTCCTCAGGGTCTTGAGAGCAGGAAAGCGGCTGTGGGAGCCAACAGTGGTTGGAGAAGGGCCCGGGCAGAGCCAGTGTGGGGAGGGGGTTCAGGGTGGGTGACACTGGAGGGAAGCAGCCACTCTGTAAACACCACGGAGTGGAAAGAACTTAATATTCGGGGAACAGTCCCCCTCTCCCTCCATGAAGTGGCAGGAAAGCTGGGGTTTATTCCAGATGCCCAGGTTGCCTAATGAGGGGGTTGCTCATCAGGGGAGGCATGTGAATGGTGACTGAGGCCCAATGGTCACATTCTCTGCCTACAGGATTAGGAGGCTGCCTGGCAGTGGCAGCCTACCGGATTTATCGGCTGAAGGCCCGTGGTTCCACCAAGATGTCCATACACCTGATTCACACCCGCGTGGCCGCGCAGGCCTGTGCCGTGGGTGCGGTCATGCTAGGTGAGTGGCTGCTGGGGTCTCAGAACAGAGCTGATTAGGCAAAATCTGGCTGTGAGTCCGGACAGTTAAGGGATTATGATTTTAGTCCCTGTTCCCTATACTGGGCTCCACAGCAAGTCTTGGGTGAAGTCCTCAACCCAAGCCATTTCAGGGTTCCCTGTTTTATCTCCCATCCCAGGGCCTATGGGGGTGGCGCTCCGTTGGTTTTGTGACAGTCTGTCCTAGAGATGAGAAATATCACACAGCAGAACATATGCTCAACTTCTCTTCCTCTCTGGGTCAAGAGGCAGACAGCTCCGGACTAGCTGTGTGACAATGGACAAACGCCCTTCTCTGAGCCTCGGTTGCCCTGACAGGGTGATGAGCACCCTGGCTGGCCCACCTCGAAGGCTGCTGTGGGGCGTCGCAGACAGGTGATTTGCGTGAAGTGCTCTGTGAACTGCCCGTGGGTGTTTCCCTAGGCCCTGTGGCCGCGCGCTGGCGGCTGCGGCTGAGACCGAGAGCAGCAAGACAAGCAGGGAAGCCGGACTCTCAGGGGAATGGCTGGAGTCAGACTCCTGGGCGAGCCAGAGGACGGGTACAGGGTTTGGTGTTATGGGACGTTTTCCCTTCTCCCTCCTGTAGGTGCTGTGTACACCATGTACAGAGACTACGTCAAGAGATCAGCACAGGACCCCAGGGAGAAGTAGGACTCCTGTAGGGCCTGGGGCAGCCAGAGCCTCGTCCATCAATCCCTGGTACGTTCCTAATAAAGCAGTTTTGAAGAAAATCAAGTCTCTTCTTCACATGGGGGATAGCAGAGTAAGGGACCGATAGCAGTGTGTGTCTGTGTGTCTGTCTGTGCGTGTGTATGGTTTAGAGAAAGGTGTAGAAGTCAGAGTCCTGGACTGAAGCCCCCAGCCCCAGGGCAAGGGAGATTCTCCAGGGGCAAGAGCCTCTGGTCCCAGAAGCCTGACACCTCCCAAGCCAGCCCAGGTCCTACCCAGAAGGAGGAAAGTAAAGAGACAAGTGTGGGAGGGGGAAGGGCAGAGGTAAGAAAGTGGCCTCCACATTCACGGGAGCACTGAATCGAGAGACCGGCATCCCTCCCACCACGGGCTGCTACCCAGGGCATCCAGGCAGGAAGACTGCAGCTGGGAGAAGAGACATAGGAGACGACATATATTCAGAACCCAAGTGGCAGGACCACACTGTGCTGGAGGGAAGGGGATGGGGGTGAAGATGAAAGGAACAGAGCAAGGCAGAGGTCAGAATGTTCTGTTCACTTAAAAACCATGTCTAAGGTCAAACTTTAAAAAACAGAAAACATTCCATGTAAATCCTGAAGACAGAGCCCCCTGGGGTTAAACACTTAGTCCCCTTCTCCCTCCCGCAGTCCAAGCTCCGCTCCGGTCCCTGGGCATGGAGCCAGGCAGAGGCTGCAGAGGAACTAGGAGGCCAGATACTTCTTCCTTCCTGGGACTCTGGGTCGGAGGGTTTGGGGTGGTTAAAAACGGCCACAGCAGCTCTCCGACGCTGATAATGTGGAGTCCGGGTCCGCCAGGTCCCAGCTTCAAGTGCAGGACACGGCCTGTTGCAGGGTGCAGGGGCCACTGGGAGCCCCAGCACTCACATGGGGTAGTTGAGCACAACATCCTGCTTGGCGAGCTCCAGCAACATGGGGTCATCGAAGAACTTGCTGATGCTTACGTCCTCGCTCAGGCCCTGCAGGAGTGGGGGCGACGCAGGCAAGAGCCCTGTGTGGTGGCCGACAGAGCTGAAGGCCATCTGAGACCCGTGCTGGGGGTGGGGGGGGGGGCGGTGCTGGTGCGGGAGAACTCTGGGCCAGCTATTTCAGGAATCGCCAATGGGACGAAGTGCTCCCCTGCCAGCCGGACTGGGCCCTGGGTCTGGGGGCCCGAGGGCTGTACAGACCACCTCTCCGCACTGTGTACTGAACTGTTCCCACTCTTTGGGAAAAAGGTCCCAAAGGAAGAAATGAAAAGAGATCCAACTCCTGCCAAGGGCCCCGGGGAATGAGGGCTGGCCATGGGCCGGAGGGACTCATACCTTCCTGCGACGGGTTTTGATCATGAATTCCCGGGCCAGGTGAGGAGCAGGTTGTGGCTCCAGGGGGCGGATGACAATGCTCTTGTCCAGAGGATCACCGGGCACAATCTGAAAGGTAAAGCAGTTTCAGGGGGTCTATGACTCTTGTTTAGAATGTTGGAAATCTCACTTGGGGCTTGGAAGGGGAACAGGCCAGAGGGGACTGGCCTTGAACAGGTGGGAGGCCACGCTGGCCAGCCTGCACCATTTTCTCACCTGCCAATGGTGGAAGACAGACAAGGAAAAGGCTTGCCCTTGGGTGTGAGTCCGCAGATCAGTCTCAAAGCCAAAAGAATCAATGGCAGGGATGAAAGCTTTGATGGTGTAGAGAGGGGAGCCTGGGATGGGTGCATCCTGAGTCACATGCCCCCTGCGACAGAAAAAAGAAAGGCTGAGTCCCTTGTCCTACGGAGACCAAAAGCAGAGAAAGAATCTGGCCTCAAACGTATCACAACACAGAGCTCCCATCAAAGAAAGAAAACCACAATCATGCTATAGTGGGCGGAAAAGGCTTGGGGCCCTCAGTGTCCTTTCCTGTGGCCGTCAAAGGGGGCAGTGACCGCTAGGCGAGAGTGGAAACACTGACGAGACAAGGTCCTACAGACATTACCCCCACTGACACATTTCAGTACTTTCCCCAAGGGCTCTCCAAGGAGAGAGGACCCAAGCAGGAATCTCAAAATTTTTATCTGCGGTGAAGCTGGGGATTGCCTTAAATCTTCCCCACTTCCTTCTGAAGAACCAGCTCAGTGGGTTTTTAGGAACAGAGACTGTGCAGGAGGCCCATCTGCTTCCCCACAAGAGCCCGGTAACTTCTTGCTGTGCTCCTGCTCTCTGCACCCTCCTGGACACGCCATCCCGGTGACTTGCCTGCGCCTGGCCAGGACGGTGTACACAGCGGAGACACAATCCGCAGGGGCCTGGACCTCCACAAAGTAGTAAGGCTCCATCAGACGAGGAGTGGCCTGCAATGGTGCAAGAAAGGCTTCCTCAGCTTGGGGAAGGCTGGGGACCAAGGCTCCGGGTAAAGAAAAGACTGGAAGGGCTGTAGTCCTGATGCCCCAAAAGCTTGGACTTTACCTAACGCGCTGCACCAGGTCAGTGCCATCCACTCACCATGAGGAAGGCAGAATAGACAACTCTCCTCGCCGTGGGGATGATTTGGCCCCCGCCCCGGTGCAGGGGCTCTTGGGCAACCACTGCATCCAGGATCTTAAACTTGACATTTCGAATCACTGAAACGGAGATGGGGGAGCTGCTGAGCGAGGAGCAGTTGTGGTACTCGTCAAGGGCCCCAAAGCAGAGCAGCCAGGAGCCTCTAGCAGCGTGGCAGCTGGCTTGAGGCCACACAATCACGCTGCAGATGGGCGTTCTGACAGGGTACCAAGGCCTACAGCAGAGCACAGAAGTCAAGCACACATTCTTCGTGTTTGTTTCAGATCATGCTCAAGAATCGTAAAGCCTTCCTAAAAGTTTATGTGTTCTTCTTGCTGTTTAATTGTTTTGGATAAAGGATTTAACTGTTTTGGATAAATGTTTGTTTTTGGATAAAGAATAAATTCGAGGAATTGCACATTGCTTCCCACTAAATCCAATCCTGGTCTATAAACCACTCTGATCCCACCTCCCACCTGATACCCCTCCTCGAACACATTCCTTCTCAGGACTGGGGAGCAAATGTCAGTCTAGGAATAACTTCATTTCCAGAATGTCCCAAGCAATAGCATTAGGATGGGGAAGGAGGAGGGGAGAGGATGCTGCCCCAGGACGGGGGTTGGCCCTGTGTGTCCTGAGCTGCTTCTCCTGCCAGGGCCCATAGATGAGCCCAACTCACCTCAAATGCCCAGGCACGAGGCCCCTAGAGGGCTGGGGCAGGGGAGGCCGAGGCTCGGGTGGAACTTACGCTCATCACAGAGAGGCCCCTCTCGGGTTCCCCACTGGAAACCTTGAACGATACTGTCCTTCACTGAGCCAAGAAGAGCCTTGTCCACCTGCACAGAACATGAGGGCATGTATGAGCAGTGACCCCGGCAACAACCAGAGTTTAGAGGGAGGAGGAGGTAGGTATACTGGTAAGAAGATTCACCAGAAGCCACAAAACACTTTGGGGAAAAGAATTACACTTTGTAGTTTCTTCCACTCAACAGCAAAGAAACCACTGCAATGGCTCCCATCAGCTCTGCTGTACCTCAGAGGGCAGGGTATCATCCACCAGGATGTTGGGGCCGGTGGCATCAGGGCCAAAAGCCCAGATGGAACGTGCAGCCAGCAGATCCCAATCGTACTTGGTCTGGAAGAATTCTCCGAGTTTCTTCCTGGGGGGGAGGAGGAGACAATGAAGGCATCCAGCAGCTCTGTTGATTCCTGCCTGCTGGGGTCACAGATCCTGCCTTCCTGGAGGACAGTTCGCTTCCTGAGACAGGTGGGCAGGCTGTGGCGCCTCTTCTCCTTTCAGCCTGGGAACCACAGCACGTTCTCACCTGTTCCACGTGATCTGGACCACCTCGTTCTCTATGTCCTCGGCGAGGCCCTTCTCAAGGGGCTCAGCAATCATGGTGATCTTGTTCCTGGTAATAACGGACACGGGTAGCGATAAAGATCAGCAGGACTCGCAGAAGGGGCATCCCTAAGAAAAGGCTGGCAAGGCAGTGACACCAGTAGAAACCAGAGGGCTAGAGTAGAGCAAAAAGGGTTCATCTTCTGTCTTCTTTCATTCAAATCTATCACTCTTTAAAACAGCGAGGTCTTGGGGTGCCTGGCTGGCTCAGTCAGTGCAGCAGGTGGCTCTTGATCTCAGGGGTGTGACTTTGAGCCCCATGCTGGGTGTAGAGATCACTTAAAAATAGAATCTTGAAAAAACCAAAAAACAGTGGAGCTGCTGCTAGGGCAAAATTTTAAGATGATCATATTATACAGAAAGACAAGGCCACTCATTCTTGGGGTACCTCCAGCAAAGAACCCCACAGCATCATGTCTACAGGCCTAAGGGGTGAGAGTGCTGGGGTAAAATTCAAGCATCCTAAGACCCCATCCCAAGGCTTGGGGGTCTCTTTCTCCACAGCGCTTGTGATTAGGGTGGAGAGGTGTGGGGAGAGGAGAGTGTCCCCTGTCCGTCCCAGGGGCACTCGGACCCACCATCTCAGTTTTTTTTTTTTTTTAGATTATTTTTCTATTTATTCGACAGATCACAAGTAGGCAGAGAGGCAGGCAGAGAGAGGAGGAAGCAGGCTCCCTGCTGAGCAGAAAACCTGATGCGGGCTCGATCCCAGGACCCTGAAACCATGACCTGAGCTGAAGGCAGAGGCTTTAACCCACTGAGCCACCCAGGCGCCCCCCGCAGCTCACTTCTTATTGGGTGTTTCAGCAAAGCACTTGAGTGAAGATGTTTCCACTACTGTCTCACAAAATGTGACAACAGGGTCAGCCACCTGGGGAAACAGAATAAATTGTTAGGCAAGGTCTCAATTTGTTGGAAGGACAATCTTGTGCCAAAGGGAATTCTGAGGTCTACTTGGCACCTTATCTGCGACAACACTCCGTTCTCAATCAGCGTCGGCAACAAGCCCCACAGCGGGCGCAAAGTGCATACCGGCACTAAGCAGCCTGAGAAAACCTAGCAGACTGTGGAGTTTGTGCTCCTCAGCCTGGGCATGAGGAACTTGGGCATAAATGATAGTCCCC